ATGGCTTCTTGGATACACTGTGGTTTACTTTTCTTTCTTTTAAACATGTGTACCATGAAGTGCACAGTCTGTGTGTGATAAGCAGGAGGGCTTTGTAGAAAAGTCCTCTTGCCTGTTGTAGAAAGGAATAATTTCCTGGTTTGGGCTTTTTAGCATCACTTCTGAGCAATGTGTCGCGAGCAAGGCTTTAGATTTTGCTGGCAGTTTTGAGGTGCTGACAGATTGAAAGCAGGTTCTGTCTCCTCCTGCTCTTTTTTTTTTTTTTTTTAAATCTGACCTCATTATTAGAGTAGTATCTGAATATCTTGCAGCTTCCCCTGTCGTTCTGTAGTCAAGGCAAGGTGCGCCCAGGGAGATGGTACTTAGCTTGGCCCTAATGTGAGCCTTTAAGCTGCATTTTTTAAAGCTGTATTTTTTTAAAGCCACAGCACCCACGAAGAAGCAGGTAGAGAGAGGTCTGTTGGACCCACATTTCTCACCCTCAGTGCTGAAGACTAGGATTGACCCCTTTGCAAGGGCCCAGAATTGCACTTGCACTGAGGGTGTTGGAGCCCACCACATGCTCCTGGGATGGACACTGTCAGGGCGCTTCGCAGGGGACATTCTTCCCCCCAGCTCAACAGCTGAGCCAGAGCATCAGCAGCAACAGAACCTCTTTTAAGAGCTGTCTTGAACTAGTGACCCTCAATTATCACGTTGGCTGGGGGGCTAACACGGAGCTAAATCATGTCAGGCCAATCTTACAGGGATCAGGTTGACCAGTTTTATATTAAGCCACCACATACGCGCAGCACATGAGTGGCTGTTTAAAGAAAGCCTCTTACTTCCCCTCCCTCCCCCCTCTTTTAAGGCTTATTTCTTTTGTCGCGTGTCATGGGGGCTGGCAGCAGGTTCAGAAAGTCTGAGCTCTCCCAGCTCAAGGTCACTGGGATTGTTTAAATATAATCTCCTTTTCTGTACTTATACTTTCCTACAACTTGCTATTCTGTCTTTCTAAAATTAAACTATTGAGCAAAAGAGTAGATTGGGCTTTACATGCCAGGAAGGGGGCAAGCTAGCAGCAGGCTGGACCCTTTGTCAGGGTGCGTGTCTGTGTGCGATCGTGCTAGGGATGCAGAGCAAAGTTCACAGTGAAGAGCTGGGGCTGCCCTTTGCGGCTCAGTTGTGCCTTGTGTGAACCGCTATAGCTTTTCATGGCAGGCCACACATAGAGTTGTAGAGCACAGATCTGCTTAAGGAAGTGAAACCAGTCAGCTTAGGGGTGATCAAGCCCTCCATAGTGATTGTGTCCTGCAGTGAATGAGACAAAGGAAAAAATGCCCTAGCACTTCTAAAAAGCTCAATAGTTTGGAATGTTTTGTAATTTTTTGAAAATAGTTTTCAAGTTTTTTCTCTGCAACCAGGAAGGCTTGAAAATTAAAAGTGAAAGTTGGGGATTCCTGGTTGCAGGGGTTTGATCTTTTAAAAAAGAAAGGCACTGAACACCGTCAGGCTTGCAAGAACAGGCAATCCTGGAGTTTAACCATCAGGCTGCCATGTGACAAAGATGACAGCTAAATTCTCTGTGCCAGTAAACGTTTGGTTGTGCTCCCCTCTGGGAATGAGAGAAGGACCTCTGAGGCTCTGAACACCACTGTGCAGGGCCCAGGCCCACTCCGTGAATATTGCAGTGCCCCATCCCTGCCATCCTCAGGCATCTGCACTGGTCGTGAGCTCAACAATGTTGTGCTTGTGAGTTGTGCCTTGGGAGCAGTGAGTGTGTGTGCTGTTACAACCAGGAGCTGAGCCTGGATGACATTCCACATACCTCTTGCAGTAGGGAATGGGAATTCCCCAGTTAAGCCTTGCCTATACTAGCACAACCAGGAGAGCTAATTTGGGGTAAGTTAAAATAGTCAATTACGCCTTATTGATACAAATTAAAGCACACACTCAGTGTACATACTCATTTTTTTCAGTCCAAAGGCTTACTAGCCCATTTCTTACTCCACCGAGGACTAACTGTACAGGTACAAGGCTCTTGTCAAAGGTGCGGTGTCATCTGCCCTAGGTGACTGCTGTACGTTGCCCTCCTTGTGAAAGAACAAACAGAAGAGGACCTGACTGCATCCTGGCTACTTGAGTGGACACAGGCTTGCAGACCAGGCTGATTTCTTCCTTTTTTTCTAGCCTCTGTGTTGTGGGGTTCTTTAATTATTTTATTGGGATTTGCTTTACTGACTTTCCTGTGATCTCTAAACTGGGCAGGGAGAACCTTTTTCAGTACCTGATGCCACACTTGCTTTCATGAAGCACTGTGGCTCACTAGCATTTCTGCCAGCCCAAACATTGCTTGCTGCCAAGCCTTGATACCCCTCGGTGCCAGTCACTACCCTGAGCGTTAGCACTGCAGATCAGCGGTGCTTGCGCGCTCTGGATCCTGCCACAGAGCAGGCATTGGAGAAACCAGATCCCCAACCGTGCTGCGCCCCGTCCCAGCTGGCCCTGCACTTCAGCTGCTTGTGCTGACCATTTAAAGCCTGGGCTATGGAACTGGCTCTGGTGGAAAAGGTTTGCTTTCCCGAGGAAATCTTAGTCTCTTCCACTTTACTGATTGACTTACTAATAGCTCTAATAAGTTACTGGTTACATTTGTGTCGTGCAAAGGATAGGGAAGTGAGGTGATACTGGGTAATGTGACTTGGTAGCTTATACTGGGATCTGGAATGACGCTGTTGCTTAAAACAGTGGCTGCATAATCTGGGTTGTTTTCTTAGTGGGGAGTGGTGGGGGTGAGGAAATGTTTCAAGATAATTCAAGAATGACATCGCTGTAATCCCGCTTACTCTAAGATCGTATAACAGCATGAAATAGGATAAATGTTTTTGGAAGGGACATTGGCTTTCCCTTATGCTTAATGCTTCCCTGCTCCGGAGGACAGGGGCACCCATGGTGGTGTGGAAAACTGTCTTTCGTATTACACTGAAACTCGCTCCATGTTTGCCGCCAGTCACTGTCCCTTTTAGAGCTGCTTGTGTCACTGCAAGGCTGACGTCCTGCATCGCAGAACCACCCTTGTGATACCACTGAACAAAGATGCTTCTGTGAGCTGCCTGTCTGCGTGCAGGGGAGAGGAATTCAGGGGGTGCTGGGGAAATAACTAACTATAAGAAAGAGTTGGTTTAATTCTGTTGTTATCAGCCCAGTTTGGCTGGGGATCTGTGTGAGCAAACCTGTACTGGCTTCATGCTGGAATATTTGAGTTGTGGAAACCCATTCCAACTTCATCTCAGATGATCTGAACCCTTGGGGTTTTTTTGTCCTTTGGAGTGTAACATCAGGTCAGGAATCCTGGGAGAGCAGATTTTGCACTGCGTTTTCACTGGAGTCTCTGTGCCTCCTGCATTTTACCCAAGTGGACATCATTTGGGAACAAGCTTTTTGGGGCAGTCTTACTCCTGCATCCTGGTGGTGCAGGTGTGCAGAAAAATGAATAATAATACCCAGCGCCAGGTGGGATAGCTATGCTTTTGTTATTCTGCTAATATTAATAGAAACTTTACCCAAACTTCATTGAACTCTGGCTCTACTATGGACCTGCTTTGTGCTTACTGCTCATTTAAATTCTTGGCCTCTCCTTGAGTCAGCTGTGTTTTCCGTTTCATCCGGTTCAGGGCATGTGACAGAAGATGCAGGATGCATTTCTTAAGACTTCTGCCCTTTTTTAATTTATTTTTTTTCTTTGCTCCATGCAACAGTTACTAAAAATGGAAACTATGTGATTACTCTTTGTGTTACCACCTACAAAGCTCCAAAGGTTGGGGCTTTCTCTAGCACTGTCACAGTTAAAACCAAAAGTCATGTGTCAGATCTCAAAGGCATGAGTCTGGATTAAGAAAGATGTGATTGTTAAAGGACATTCAACAACATTCAAATTTGATTTATAGTCGGAAGCGGGGTTTAAGGATCTAGAGGATTTCAAGCTTTTTGTTTCTCCAAACAGTGAGACACTCTTTTGAGTTTCCTCTTCAAATAAAAGTTGAAACCCTTTTATATAGCTCGATTCCAGGAGTTGAAACTTTAGGAAAGAGGCCAAATATTGTGAAATTTGTGATCTCATTGTAAGAGTAGGCAGCAGTGAGGTTTGTTTAGGCAGAACTTTCAGGGAAATTCCTGGGTATCTGGGCTAAATATCCTGGTTTTGTTTATTAACCACAATTGCTGCAGACTTACACTGGAAACATTTGAATGGGGGAGGAGAGAGGCGATACAGCTCAATTCTGTGTCAGGAAATACCAGATCATTTCATGCTTTCCAGTCCCTTGTATCTTTTGTGTCTGCCTGATCGAAACCTTATCACTTTGGGGGCTTTGGTGTATTAAGATGTACAAGGAGTTCTGCACAAATATCTTTCCAAGCAAGATATGGGTAAGGCTGGTTTTCTAATGAAAGAAAAATTGCTTGAGGAGGAGGTCGCTATCTCTTTGTCAAAAAATTTATTTTTGTTTAACAAAAGAAGTAATTTTCCTCTCTGTTTTTACTTTTCACTATCCTACTGAAAAGCCAAACAAGTTTATCTGACATTTTTTCAGGTTTTAGGCCTGTTTTGTTTCTGACTGCTATTTTTAATGAAAAAGTTAAGCTTTCATTAGTAGCTTTTCAAAAATACTGAGTGAACACTTTCCGCAAGGGGAGAAGAATATTTCAATCACCTCTAATCCTAACTTAAATACCAGAGAACGACCATAACATCCTAATGCTACAGAGCACGCTCGAGCATACGCCTGGTCTCTTATGATGTAGGGAGGAGAGAGAGCAGCTGCTGAGCACTGCTGAGGTCTGCCGCATGGTTGTCACTGACCCAGTGATCCTTAATTGAGATTCGCTACCAAAATGAGTAAATCCTGAGTCAGACCAGGCAGTGAGAGAGTAGCACTATTTAAAATACATCAGAATAACAACTGACAGTCTTATTTATGTACGTATCTTAAAAAAATGTGCATCGTCTTGTTTTTCCGCAGAGAATACCAGAGGAGCTAACCTTAGATGCCTTACTAGAAATGAATGAGTCAAAGGTGAAAGAAACAATGAAGAGATGTGGTGCCAGAGATGAAGAGTGCTCCAGACTCAATGGGGCACTGAGCTGCTTACGGAAGGTGACTGAGTCAGGTACGGACTGCCTTGTTCTATGGAATTAGTTTCTTGGCAATCCGGCCCCCATCCTGCTTCCTTTCATATGAGACAATCTGCAAAAACCTCTAGAGAATGTCTTTGGGTATATTCTGTAACCAGTATCAGGTTGTGGCTCTTGGATGTACATAAAGTTGCAGTGATCAAATGCATCTAGAGCTGTGAATTGGATTTGGTTTTGACAGCATGTCAAATAAATAAATAAGTGGCAATAAATGTACGTAGAAATATCCTTCCCTATTCAGTAGACTATATCCTTACTCCCTCTCTGTTCAGAGTTGTGTCTAATGCTCCAATTAATCTTCCATCATTCAGTACGCATATCCTTGACCTAATGAATACAACCAGATTTCTTGTAGGTAATCCCCTCCCCAAATACTGCCAGCACAGAGAGAAGGTGTAATTTTGTTTGGCATTACTTTGCTCAGAAGCCTGAGTATTGTTCAGCTCAATGCTTTGGAAGAGAAGAATGTTGTTCTGACAACCCTTTATCACTGTAGCTTGTAGTCTGCCAATTGATTCACTTCTTAAAACCGCTTGCCTCCTGCTATCTTTCTTTGACTGCTAGAATTGACAGAATCATTAGCCAAATTCCAATAGCAAATTCAAGAGCTAGAAAGAACCCTGATTTACCTTGAAATTATGGAAAGAAAGGTACTGTGTAATTAGAAATGCATGTGTTCAGCACGCAAATGGATCTCACCAAGTTATTTAAGATTGGTCAAACTCAGGATTCCCAGAGCGCTGTTTTACTGTCTTCCTCTATCACCTTCCCAGCTACTTTCAAAGGCACTGTAAAATCTGTTTGTACGAGAGTGTTTCTCACAGCATACTGGTACTAACATGCATCAGCTCTTTCTTTGTAGCAATTATCAATCTGTCACTGAAAGGTGATGTTTCCTGTTGGTATTATGACAGTTCATACCATTTGCAAATCATAAAGATGAGTTAATGGAAAAGTCAGTGAACCGCTCAGTTTCATATTTCCTTTTCTCTAATCTTTCTTGTCCTGGGCTGTCAAATATTTCCCACCCATACTGTGGCAAAACCAGCCATTGTTCAGAAGTCATGGTATTCACTTATTATAAAGAAACAACATTTTTAAAAATCCAGGTATATCATCTCTTTTCAACGACTGACTGGTCAATAGGATACCAGGGCCTGAAGCTTTGACTTCTCACCTTGATTTAAATCATTAAGGACATGCTTAATTTCAAGATGGAGAGTTATCCTGATGAATTAAGCCTCTGAAATTATCCCAATAATCTGTGCCTTCTTGCTTTGCTGCCTGCAGGCCTTTGCACTTTTTTTTCCCCGTTCATACCCAGGATTGGTCTACAAGCTGTACTGGATCATTCTGAAGTACAGTGCTAGGCATTGTAGAAGGCAGTGCTGGGCTCCACCAGCGATCCAGCAGGATGTGGTGGTTCCTTTTTGCCCAGCTGTCTGTCCCTGGTGCAGCTCTAGCTAATACAGTCTGAACAAACACAGCAACTCTGTGCTGAGTGCTGCTGCTGCCTGTAATTGAACAGCAGTGCCCCAGGACTCCAGGTGTCAGGTGAGTTCTAGGCACTGGTTACATGGAGAGAGAGAGAGAAAAGTGGCCAAATGAGCATGAGGAGCTCCTAGATACCCCTTATTTCCAATCTAATGGCCTTTCTCAATTTAAGTGGTATTCAGCAGTTCTGTTGGCTAACAGAAAATAGTTTCCTCTTTTTACCAAAGAACAGTCTAAAGGCAGACAGGGTGCCAGGTTGGGCGTACAGATTTGTCTAAACAGATTGGCACCAAATCCACACAGGCTTGCACTGGGATGTGGGTGCCCGTGTTATGTAGGTGTGTATATCCCATGTGCTTCAATAAGGCCCAAATCTGTTAAAACTCAGCCCATCTTAGAACATAGGACCTGATTTTAGCTTTTGAGACACATAGATACAGATAGGAAAGGAGGGTAGTCACTGCCATTCTTGTTTTAAAGGTTACTTTAGCTGATGGCTTAGATGGGTGTCAGGGGAGGAGAAACTAGGCTTGCAATTTGGCTAGGTGCAAAGCAGGGAAAGAAAACCACCTTAAAGCCTAAAGCAGCATGATGTGGTATATATATACACATTGGCTTTTCTTTTTAATCAATCACGAACATTGCTACGGTTGGTGAACAGGTGGGGATTTAAAAGATGATGTGCTGATGAATCTTTCTGAGGCACGCCGAGAGAACAGCTCTACAAACACGACCGAATCCCCCTGCTCCTCTGCGCCCACGTGGACTTCCTCTGCACTGCACCTTCCCAAGGGCAGCAGCCAGCAGGCACGTTCTGTGTCAGTATCTACAATCCCATCTTCAGATTCTCCTGCCTCGAGTCATGGACCTTCTATCTATGCAGAAAACCTCCTGGACCCTTTTGCATTCCCCGCACACAGTGGAAGGTTAACGCCAAGGACTCCTCACAGCATCACCATCACTCCACCAACCACTCCTCAAGCCAAGAGACGGCATAAGTTGAAGCCACCACGGACTCCTCCTCCCCCTTCCCGGAAGGTTTTTCAGCTGCTACCTAACTTTCCAACCCTCACAAGGAGCAAGTCCCACGAATCACAGTTGGGAAACAGGATAGATGAAGTTCCTCCAATAAAGTAAGCATGACACTTCCTCCTTCCCCAGGGGCACTGGTGGGCTCTGTTCACACCAAAGGGCGTTCAGTGCTCCAGTTCTGACTCTGTGAAAGAGCTGGTGTCCAGTTGCCTCGTCATGGTTTCACTGCAGTCTGAGAATCTGTATCAGTGGGATATTCTAAGATAACCACAAAACCTGCTTCTTAATAGTGTACTTTACTTGAAATTTATTTGAATTTATTTGAAATAGCACATGCGGGGGAGGTTGGGATGGCTGCTGCTATTAAAGGGCCCCAGTCCGTTTTTCTCAAGTATCTAGTAGCCAATTTCACATACTAGAGTTCTCTTCTGTCCTTAAATGTTCCTCACAGTTCAGGTGGCTAGTATGCAACGCTACAGGCTTGGGGAGGAGTGGCTGGAAAGCT